TTTTTTTTTTTTTTTTATGTATCTAAGAAATAAATAAAACCACATTTTATAATATAAGTATGACAATAAAAATAATAACAATGAAAAAAAAATAACAAAACAATTAAAAATAGTATATCCAACTAACCCCTTCGAATGTACTCCAATTTCTTTCACATCCAGATGAGCTTGTGGTTAATGAAAAGATTCTTATGGCAAATCTTTGCAAATTAGGCGTTGCACATCCATAATTTAACCACCAAGTAGCTATGACATCAAGACAAATATATAAATATAAATATATCCAACAAATATATTTTTTCAAGACATATCACATAAGAGGCAAGACAAATATATAAATATAAGTATATATATTTACCCGGATCAAACTTCTCGTCGTTTACTTCACAACCTTTTGCGGCAATTGGCTTCCCAAAAACTCCTCCCTTTGTCTTATAAATGGGCAACTCAACATTCATGATTTTATCCATCAAATCAAAGTTACCATGACAAATGACATCAAGGCAATCAAGAACACCATCCGAAACAACTTGATCTAGTATGAGATTCGGGTCCTTATAATGATAATAAGAATTTAGTAGATATGCCATCAAGTGTAACGGGGTGCCCAATCTACCCATCATCTTCGTGTCAATGATTTCTAAGATGGGATCATAATTCTTGGCAAGATTGTTCAAGACACGTTTTATATCTTCTTTAGCATGCATAAGCTCCCCATACAAAAATCCCATCGACGGCTTCTTATCGGCATCCGCTATGCGAAGCACCTTCACCAAAGGAGCAAAGATAGTCAAGAAAGAAGTTACACCATTCCAAAAACTAATAGACATCACGGTGTTGTAACTTGCTTTCCCCTTGACCGTCTTGGACCACTTGCACTCATCCCACTCGGAGCTAGTGAACATTGCCCTTAATTGTGCCTTTTTTTCCATCAAGCTTTGCAAGCTAAGAAATGAAGAGGCGAATCGTGTGACTCCGGGTCTTACTATGTCCCTCCTTTTAGTGTAAGACCTCATCATGGATAAGGTCTTATGATGTGCATAAATGAATATAGTCAATGCCTTTGCTTGTTCAATGGTTTTGGTGAACCGGGGTAGTTTTGCAATGCCCTCCAAGATAAGATTGATGGTGTGTGTGGCACATGAAGTCCAAAAGATAGTTGGCCTCTTTATGCGCAATAACTTCGCCGCTCCCATATTATTTGAAGCATTATCCGTCACAACTTGAACAACATTCTTGGGCCAAACTTGCTCAATGCATTGATCCACATACTCAAAAATCATTTCACTTGTGTGAGATATATCGGAAGATTCCTTGGAAGATAGAAATATCGTTCCCATTTTAGAATTCACACACAAATTCATGATGCTTCTTCTCTTTCTATCACTCCAAGCATCCATCATAATCGAGCAACCACTCTTCTTCCATTCATCTTCATGAGGCTTCACCTTGAGTTTTGTTCTCTCAACCGCTTTCTTCAACAATGGCTCTCTCATCTCATACGAACTAGGAGGCTTCCACCTCGGCCCAAATTGACCGAGCGCTTCGCTAAAGAGCCGAAAGCTATCAAGCTCGGTTGCATTGAATGATATGCCCGCTTCATAAGCCCAATCGACGAAATAATCTTTCACCAAGTTGGATCGTTCTTTCCAAAAATAGCATCATTAATGTTTTGTTCCTGCATCATCTTTGCCACGTTCAATGATGCTTCTGGGTTTATTGTTGTAGTAAATCTATCCATTGGGCCAAGAGAGTGAGATTCTTTTGCTTTTTCGCATTGTTGAGAGGACTCAACATTCAACCCTTTAATGTTAACCGAAGATAGCAACTCTTCTTGAACTTCTTTTGTCTTCATCTTCTTGGCTTTGGACTCATTAATGGCATTTCTACATTTAGCTTGATCTTCTTTTGTTGCTTTTTTACATGAAACAACATTCCCGGAAATTTGACCAATATGCTCTTTCAATCTACGTATACCACCCGACATAACTTTACTACATAACACGCATTTCACTCTATCTTTGTTATATGAATCGGCTAGAACACCATAGTTCCAACCTATGTCATCCGACTTTCTTTTAAATACTT